CACAGTACCATCTGATAGCTTTTGTTTTATTGGGTATTGAGAAGAGCTGAACACGTTTTTTTATGCCTTAGACTTAGACTGTCATTTCTTCTTCACAAAGCCCTGCTCCTCTGTTAGCTCTGTAAATTTGTATTAGAAGACCATATTGTGGATACTAGGAATGTTCTTTATACTAAGCTAGCTGTTTCTCTAAAGCTTTTTAGTGTACAAGCCCAGTTATTAAAGGTGTTTCATACAATTTATATTGATCCTAATAATTAATGTGTGTTCACTTTTTGTATGCTCTCACCTTTTTTGAGACAGGTCTTACAGGCGTGACTGGAACTCTTGAATCTTCTTGTCCCATCTTCAAGTGCTGGCATTAGAGGTGTATACTATTACACTTACTCTTTTAGCCTTTTGTGCCTCCTCCCACCTAAAATTATTTTTCCAGACAAGGTCTGATTCTGTAGCTTGGACTACAAGAGAAGACCCTATTTAAAGTCACAGCAGCAATAACAACAACCATTATAATGTCATGTAATGACACTACATAAAGACAAATACTATTGTCTTACTTAGTAAAGAGGATAGAAGTTAAGGCGAGCCAAGATGAGCTCATGTCTAAAATACTGAAAAACCAACCAAATAAAACTACTTGCTTGGGCGCTGGAGAGATGGCTCAGCAGTTAAGAGCACTGGCTGCTCTTCCAGAGGTCCTGAGTTCAATTCTTAGCAACCACATGGTGGTTTATAACCATCTATACTGGGATCTGATGCCCTCTTCTGATATTTAGCTGACCTATAGATACAGCATTCATATATGTAAAATAAATAATTCTTTTTTAAAAAAAGGTACTTGCTTGAATTTTATTTACCTGTCTATGGCTACTGCAATCTACCACAACCTTAGAGAAGCAATTCCCACTTGTACTTTTCCACCTTACTGTCTCCTAGCCTAGTCAGTGTTGTTTATATAGATTTATCTTTACTACTTATGATGAGGGCAGTTTTGGGTTTCTTTTCTGAACCTAATGGCCTTAATTTAGAGAGCCTCTTCCTTCTATAGAAGTATAAACATACCGTTGTTGACTGTTTGCTCTGCTCCACATGTTATTAGCTTCTTTATCATAAATTTCCTGCTTTTCTCTTTGTTTCCTCTGAGGATGTCACTCAGTAGCAGAATGCTTGCTTAGCATATGCAAGGTCCAGAGTTCAGTCTCTTAACTCTGCAAAGACAGCCTTTCTCCCAGCATACACATCCACAACATGTGCGTTGGCATTTCAGGTTAAATCATTTTCCCCTTACCCTTCAAACAGGTATCTCCCCGTATGTTTCCTGTTTTAATACCTTTGAGTCATTTTAAGAGTTAAGATGGGGGGAAAAGTTAAGATGGGATTTACTATGTTAAAATGTGCCATTCAGTGCTGGTTAGTTTATTGTCAGTATTATACAACCATTAACCTCTTTCTAGTTTCAAAACCATTTCACTACTTAATCAAAATACCTTATATACCTATGAAATAATCACATACTTTAGATATTGGGCTCTTTAGATATTGTAACCAAGGGCTGGTCTCCCATACTTGTCATCATAGTGTTACTGTAAGTTATGCACCAACATGCCTAGCATGCCTTTTTCTTTTTAAATGACTTATTTTAACTATATGTACGTGTGTGTCTGTATGTGGGTTTGTGCATTTGAGGCCAGATGATGGCGTTGGCTCCCCTGGAGCTGGAGTTACACCTGATGTGGGTGTTGGGAATCAAACTGAAGTCCTCTGCAACTGCTGTACCGTTTCTTAACTTCTGAGCCATATATCCATCTTCTAGATTGGTTTTTGAAAATTTAAATCTCTGAAGCTCGCCCCATTTTCTTGAAAATATAATAAGAACAAACACTGTCCAGTTCTTTCAAGGGTTATCATTGCACCATGGATGAAGTTGGACCTTAATATGACTAACAAGGAGCCTTTATTTTCTAGCTTTTTCTATCTTGTCTTGTTTCATTGTGTCTCTTTATTAAGTCATAGGCCCAGCTCTCTCTTCTCTCCCCTTTCTCTTCCTCTCTCCTCCCCTTCCCTCCCCTCTTGCTGTTAGTTTTAAGACAGGGTTTCTCTGTGTAGTCTTGGCTGTCCTGGACTTGCTTTGTAGACCAGGATGGCCTCAAACTCACAGCAATCCACCTGCCTCTGCCTCCCTGAGTACTGGGTTTAAAAAGTATACAATCACACCCTGCATAGGCCCAGCTCCTTAATGTAGTTTTCTATGCGTCTTTCTTCTTTCTCCCTTCCTTCTGATGCAGGTTCTCACTATGTAGCCATGGCCAAATATCCACCTACCTCTGCTTCCCATGTTTTGGGATAAATATGTGAGCCTTTTCTGTGCCTGATTCCCCCCCCCCCCCTTTAAAAAAAAAACAAAACAAACTGGATATCACAGTATAGACCTGGATGTCCTCATATTTGTAGTTTTCTTCCTGTCTTTAAAGTTCTGGAATTACAGGTGTCTGCCACCACACCAGCTCCTTTTATAGCTATTAATGATTTGTGATATGCTCTTCTTTTGTATTTCATTTACCCCCATTTCTTGTACTACTTTTAGATCACCTATTACATATTGCCATATTTCTGGGAATAATGAACCTATGATGGTCATGCTTATTAATACAATATAATAGGTTGCACATACAATGAATAGGATTTTTAGTCAGAGTAATTTTTTTTTTAAGGAAGACTTCACAGAGATGGCACTGAGATGAGCTACACTTTGAAGGAATCATTCATGAAAACATGATGATGTTAAGTGTTCATGCATCTAGACCTAACAATCCATACACCAGGGCAAACCCTGTTAAAAGTGAGATATTGGACATTTTTCTGACTTTTTTTTACATTTCTTGCATGAAATAAGCAATGGATGCTCATATGTAGATGTTTCGGGATTTAGGGTACATTAAAAAAGTGAGAGCTGGGTGTAGTGCCACACACATTTAAGCTGAAAAGATTGCAAATGAGATAGTGCATGTAGAAAGCGATTACCCATAATCCTTATGCCTTCACTACACATGCACCTTTCACTGATTCCCAACTATGTTGCAGGTACTATTAGAAAAGAATATACACATATCTCTAGTGTTGATGGGAATTTGGTGTAGTGACTTTTACTTTGTGTTGTTGGTGTATGCATTAATTCTTGTTGCTGTGATAAAGTAATTGATCAACTTAAGGAACAAGTGTTATTTCAGTTTCTGGTTCATCAAGTGTGTTTACTATGTAGTTCATCATGTCTGGGAAGATAATGATAGCTGGAGTGTGACAGTAGTAAGATAATGGCAGGAGGTATGGATCCTGTTACTCTCTCTCTTCTCTTTATCTCTTCCCTTCTTATGCATCCTTGGAACCAGAGTGTATAGAATGGTCCCAACCACATTCCAAGTTAAACTGTTTTGGAAACACCTTCAGACATGCACAAGAGGTGTGTCTCCCAAGTGATTACAAATTCAGTAGGTTGACAAATGAAGGTGGACCCTGATATCAGTGTATGAAGTTACAGTTGGTTAACTAGAGCCATCTTTGGTTGCTCAAAAAGATACGGCTTTCTCTGTTACCAGCATATTCTCTGATATTTTATAGTACTCTGAATTGCATTACACTTGCTTCCATGATTACATGGCCTATCTTGGATGATGGCAAGTGCTGTATGATAATCATGTACCCATTTAGATTTCTGGCAAGTCCTTTCTGAACTGATGTTAAACCTGTTTTGTCCTCACTCACTCACTGCCCAATCTGAACCACTCAGCTCTCTTGACAGATGAAATAATTGATCGTTTTTCTGGTGTTGATGTTTGTATTCACTATCAAGATTGTGATGGTTGCTTCAAAGGTGATAGTATAGTAAAATTCACCAAATCATATAGTTGACATAATACCCTAATGTCAGTTATACTTCCTTAAAGTTATTTTAAAAACTCATGTGATTTGCCTGTTACCAATAAGTCCTTTTGTCTGTCTGTCTGTCTATCTGTCTGTCTAGGTTTTTTTAAAACAAGACAGGCTGTGTGTGTGTGGTGTGTGTGTGTGTGTGTGTGTGTGTGTGTGTGTGTGTGTGTGTGTG